TTTGTAAGTAATATATTGTATATCACATAAAAAATAATTGGTTTCTTATAATAAAGTTATGTCTCTTTTCCTGTATTTTCTCTCTAATTAATTTGTTGAAAGACTAAAAAGTGTTTTTGTTATATTTGATGGCTAACATAATTCTTATTGTATTTCTATAGAGGATCTATCCATTGTCAGGCGAAGTGACGTTAATGGCAGTAAAGAAATTGTCACAGAACCATCAACAAGTTTATCAAATAGCCTGCAGTTACCACAACACTTAAATACGGAAGAGCAACTCATTCATCTCATTCATGAAAGAGAACCTCTATGGAATTTGAGAAGTCCTCTTGAAAAGCGGAGTAAAGAAAATAAAGAAAAACTGTGGGAAGAAGTTGCAGCTGCCATTGGACCTGGTAACACTGTGGCTGCTTTTAAAAAAAAATGGAAAAACCTTTGTGATTCATATAGAAGGTTTGTAAACAGTGAGAAAGGTACAAGTGGTTCAGCAGCTAAGAAGAAAAAGCGATAGATATATAGCGATATTATGTCTTTTATGAGTGATGTGAATCTTCAGGACAAATCTACAGATTCAAATATGCAAGATGCAATGATGTCAGAGAGTAACGATTCCACAAGTTCATGTCACAATCCTCCATTGGAAGAAGTATTGTCAACCGATGACGAGATTGCTTCATCTACCGTGCCACGTACACGAAAAAATATCAGAAACTCAGATATGGAGATAGCTGATAAGGTGGTGCAAGCCATCACAAATAGTACTCCTACAAATATCTTTAAATTTCCGGATATACCAGCTCCACCTTTGACAAAAACTCCAGAATCATCAGATGCTGCTTTTAGAATGTTTATCCAGTGCTCGCTTAGAGAAATTAAAGATGAACGTGATCGAGCAAATGTTAAGAAAGCTTTGATGAATACATTATTTGCAGAATTAGAAAAAATAGCAGAGCGATGTTAATATACGTATATTTAAATAGTATAGTTGGTATGTGCATTCAGATTCCGTACTTAAAGTATTATATTCTTTTATAAGTAGTATAGTTGGTATGTACATTCAGATTCCGTACTTTAAGTTTTATATTCTTCTATAAGCAGTAATAAATAATTTTGTTTAATTGTAATTTAATTGTTATTTTTTTCCCAGGGGTGTCGTTCTTCAGTTCAAGGTAATATTAAATAAAAAAAACTAAATACTAAATACACTAAATACTTTGCGTTTAGAATTTTTATTTTTATCGATTTGTTAAAAAAATATAAATATTCAAAGTTGATATTTTTTTAAAACAATAAATGCAGTTAGTTAGAATTTAAAAGTATGATTGTATTAGTGAGTGTCTGTATATAAACGTTTTTATGTTTCAAGAAGTCACTGACAAAAATAAAATACTCGGCCATTAAATATATCAAACTAAATATATCACTTTTTGTACTCACTATCGGACTATACTTTTAGCTCCGATTGTCACAAGTGAACTACCTTAATAAGTAAATAGAAAGTATAATTTTTATTTTATTTTACAAATGATCGTATTGCCAATTCACAGCTCCTTCATTGTTAAAATAAGAAGTAAACTCCTCTCTGATTTAAATGGCTGTATGAGTGGCATTATTTGATCCCATTCGGTTAATATCTATTAATCTTCCGTGTTCTTCATTTCTTCGAGTACTATTGATAATTGAATCATAACAATGTTCTTGATTGAACAGCTCTTCAGAAACATACGAAACGTTCTGGGGAATTGTCTAAATCATGTTGTCGCAACCAGTTGTGAAGAACTACAGTAGCTTTAACCATTTTTACAACGTTAGAATTGCTAGCTATTATTGGTTTCCGAAAAATACGCCATTTAGCAACTAATATGCCAAAAGTATTTTCAATTACTAGTCTGGCACGACTAAGGCGATAATTAAAAATACGTTTTGGCAATTCAGTTGATTGCTTTCCAGGATAAGGACGAAGAAGATATGTTTTCAAAGGGAAAGCTTCATCGCCAACTATGCAATAAGGTAGAGGCGTTGCTCTTACATCACTTATGGGCGTTAAATCTGGAATATTCATTTTGTTCCCTTCTAATTTTTGTCCCAGCAACGAATCTTTAAAAATTCCACCATCACTTCTCCTTCCGTACGCTCCAATGTCAACAAAAGTAAATATATAATTGGCATTACACATTGCCAATAAAACAAGGCTGTGACTATTTTTGTAGTTAAAATACATTGAGCCAGCCTTATTTGGGCACTAAAAAATATTGATATTTATTATTAGCATTTGTAAATTAATGTAAATAATGTAATTAATATAATAATGTATTAATAATGGTCATACTTGTATAACCATACATGCTTTCCATCGATGGCTCCTATGCAATGTGGAAAATTCCACTTTTCTTTAAAATCTTTTTCTATAGCGAACCACTGTTCTTTTTTTAATTCAGCTGGCATGCACAACGGTTGCAGTTTCTTCCACAAAACAGCACATGTTGTATTAATGATGTTGCTTGCTGTTGTTACGCCAACCAAGTACTGATAATGCATTGATGTCATTGAATCTCCAGAGGCCAGAAATCTGAGCAACATTAAATGTACATACAATTAATTTGTATCAGTAATTTAATATCATAAATTTACATTTAAACAACATTTGACATATACTACTACTAATGTACATACCTCAAAGTTAAAGCTAATCTCTGTGCAGGTGGTATGGGTTTTCTGATGCAGTTTTGCTTTTTTAAATCCTCTCCAACTAAAGTTAACAATTCTTCCATTTTTGTTGAAAACATCCTGAAATAATTATAAAATCCTAGATGTTCCAATTGAAGTGATGGCAGTATTGCCTTAAAAAAACCATGCTTCTCTCGTTGTGAGCATATTGGAGACACCCAAAAGCGTTTTCTTGAGTAACTTCTCTTTTTTTTCAAAAAAACGTACTCCGCTACATGAGCTAATTTTTGTTTGTGTGCATTGGCACATTGTTGCGCAATTATTTGAGCACATTCAAATTGACAATTTAAATAATACGTGTACCAATTGCTCCAATTATTATCCGACATGTTTCTTTTAAACAGAGCAAAGTTGATAGACGTCAACAGTTTTTTTCACAATATTTATAATTTTAATACACTGACAGCTGTTATTCGTCGCAAACGTCGCTCGTCATGTGGTCGCTACCGTCGCTTGTCGCT